GGTGGTGGGCTCCTGTTATCCCAGCTCCTTGGGAGGCTGAGGTGGGAGAATCACTTGAGCCCATGGGGCGGAGGTTGCAGTGAGCCGAGATCATGTCACTGTACTCCAGCCTGGGTGACGGAGCAAGACTCCATCCCCCCCCCCAAAATAATAAATTTTATAATTGATAACAAGGACTGTCATTTATTTTTCTTGGAGTGACGGGCTCACTTTGTTTAACTCGCGTTTCCCTCTGCAAGTGTGTGCGGGAGGAGTTCGGGGTTGAGGGCGTGGGCTCAGCCGCGACCCTGTTGGCCAGCAGTCCTCCCATCTGGGCCATCAGTGAGAGCGTCCACTCAGTGCAACGGGCAAATTGTCTCAGTGTTAAACATATGCATATAGCTTTGACCTTGAGAACCCCTGGAGGGCTCTCAGGCACACTCCAGGGTCCACAGGCACACTCTGGGGTCCTCTGGCTAGAGGCATTGGGCTTTACCCCCAGCTCTGCTGAGGGGCTTCCTGCTCCAGGGTGGGTCAGGAAGCCTGAGGCCTGGGGGCCGCCTTCCCTGGGGGCTCTGCAGCGTGGAAGACCCGAGCTCCGTCTTCAGGGGCATTTAGGGTGAGGGGTTTTAGGCATGTCCTGCACTCTGGCTCCCAGCCCTCCCCCGCTCTGAAGCCTTTGTGCCCGGTCACTGTGGTCTGGCCGCCATCTACCACCTTTGGTCTCACTTTGGTGCCTTCACAGCCCTTGGCATTCTTGGACACCCCCTGCGGCTTCCTGGCCTCCGGGTCCTCCCTGGCCAGGCCCCTTGGCTTGTGGCCTCTGCCTGCCCACAACCGCTGGTGCTTCCCAGGACCCTGTCCTCTGCCTGTCCCTCCGCATGGCCAGCCTGTCGCTTTGTCCACCATGGAGTGATGACGGTGCCTGTGTCCACGTCCCCGTGCTCTCTGGACAGTTCACTGCACAGCCCTGCAGGCACTTGGAATCGACATTCCCTGAACTCCGTCCCTCCGTGGCTTCTCGCCTTCATTTGTGTTCTTTCTGTGCATCATGAAATATGCAGAGACATTTGCGTGTAAATAATGAATAAGCAAGATGTGTTGTGTTCACCACCGGCCGGCGGCACAGATGGCTGGCGTGGCCTTCGGGACCTGCCCGCCCCCCGGTTTCATTCCCCGCCTTCTCCCCCTTCCTCCAAATGGGAACAGCACCCTGAGCGTGGCGTCTGCCATTCCCTTGCGTTCATAGCTTTGTCTGCTGTGTTTCTGACTCTAAATCACATGTGGTTCAGTTGTCTATTTCTGAGCTTTATTTGGAGGAATTCCACTGTGTAATTCTTCTGCATTTTGCTTTTTTTTTTTTTTTGACTCTGTGTGGTTTCTGAGATGGGCGAATGGGCAGATGCGCGGCCGTGGCCCACTTTTGCAGTGCTGCCTGGAGTTCCAGCGTCTGAGTGCACAGCGACCCTCGGTTCTCCAGGTGGAGGGTGCCATTTTAATCCATTCTGGCATCACTGCTGAGAACGTCCACGTCTCCTGGTGCACACGGGGAAGACTTCTAGAACATTTGCTAAGAAGAGGAGTTGTCTAGTCTTAGGGAGGCACATTTTCAGCTTCTTGAGATGAGGCCAAATTGTTTCCAAAGTGGCTGCACCGGTGACAAGCCCACCAGCCATGTCCGATCGATCCTGCCCACAGCCTGGCCGATGGCAGATACTACCCCATTAAGGACGCTTTGATTATCTGATCCTCTACGATGGCTTCTCACTGCGGCTTCAATGTCCATGTCTCTGATGGCTAATGAGGTTGAATACGGCTTCACATTTTTATTGGCTATATACATTTCCTCTTACGAAATGACTTTTTTGGTCTTTCATTTTCTGATTGTCTTGTGTGCTTTTTAATATTGATTTTTATGAGTCCTAAATGCACTCTGAATATAAACTTTATCAGTTATGTGTGCTGCAAACGTCTCTGGGTTTCTGAGTTTGCTTTTCCACTTTCTGTTTGTTTTGTATGTTTTCTTTGAATATATATATATTTTTGAGATGGAGTCTTGCTCTGTTGCCCAGGCTGGAGTGCAGTGGCACCATCTCTGCCCTCTACCTCCACCTCCCGGGTTCAAGTGACTCCTCTCCTGCGTCAGCCTCCTGAGTAGCTGGGATTACAGGTGCTCACCACCATGCCCAGCTAATTTTTTATTTTATTTTATTTTTTTTAGTAGAGATGGGGTTTCACCATGTTGGCCAGGCTGGTCTTGAACTCCTGACCTCAGGTAATCCGCCCACCTTGGCCTCCCAAAGTGCTGGGATTATAGGTGTGAGCCACCCCGCCCAGGCTTGAATAAGTTTTTTAAAATTTTAAGCAGGTAAATTTGCTCAATTATTTCTTTTATGGCTCGTGTATTTTTGACCTTCTTACTGACCACAAGATCATAGATCGTTTCTCTGAAGAAAATTTAAACTTGTGAGGGGGGTAGGTATCAAATTTTATTTTAAAATGTAGATAACCCGAGTCCAAGCACTATTTCCTGCGATGCCGCCTGCAGCGTGAACTCCGTCATGCCCAAGCTCACATCTGTGCATGCGGCTGCCCGGGGCTCCGTCCCGTCCCACGGGTCTCTCTGCCAGTCAGTCCGGTGCCACCTGCTGCTGCGATCTTTAGCGTGTTTTTATAACGTCTTAGCGGCTGGCAGGGCCATGCCCTCACCCCAGGGTGCTCTTGGTCTGGGTGTCCTGGCTGTGCTTGGCCCTTGAATGTTCTGCATTGGGCTTTGGGCTCACCCTCTCCGGGTCCACAGTTCCTTTCTGTGTGTAGAAATGCGTGCGGCTCACCTCGGGCCAGGAGACCAGGGTTGGAGGCGATACTCGCTGAGCTCTGCCTCTGGGAGGTGACTGACCCCTGCGGCATCCGGGCAGCCCCAGGGCATCCCCAGGCTCAGAGCCTCCGATTTCCGAGCACCTGTTGTCTGGGCATGAGCGTGGAACAGCGTTTCCTTCCTTCTTCTCGGTTCACTCAGCTTTCCACCTCTCTCCTTCCTCCTTCAGCCCTCTCTCCTGCTTCTGGTTGGATCTCCGTCTTCGCATTTCAGCAGGTTCTTTCTCCCTCACTCTCCCCACTGCCTCTCCCCCTGTCCCTCTGTCACTCTGTCCTTCTCTCCCTCTGTCCCTCTGTCCCTCTCTCCCTCTGTCCCTCTGTCCCTCTGTCCCTCTCTCCCTCTCTCCCTCTCTCCCTCTCTCCCTCTGTCCCTCTGTCCCTCTCTCCCTCTGTCCCTCTCTCCCTCTGTCCCTCTGTCCCTCTGTCCCTCTCTCCCTCTGTCCCTCTCTCCCTCTCTCCCTCTGTCCCTCTGTCCCTCTCTCCCTCTGTCCCTCTGTCCCTCTGCCCCTCTCTCCCTCTGTCCCTCTCTCCCTCTGTCCCTCTCTCCCTCTTTCTCACCGTGTCTCTTTCCTCCCTCCCCGTCTCTGTCCACCTCTCTTCCTCCCTTTTATCCTCTCTCTCCCCTGCTTTCTCGTCTCCCTGTCCCCACTCCTTTCTGACGCACATGTCCTGGGTTCCTGCTTCAAACAGAACACCCCGTTTAGCCATAGATCTGAGCTTTGGAAACCCCAGGAATGTTCTCCTCCCCTCTCAGGAGCTGTTCCTTCGTGGGGCCTGTTGTGTGCCTTGGCCGCCCTCAGCAGCAGAGCTTCCGTCAGGGGCTCAGATGTCTCCTGTAAACAGTCAGTGCTGTCACCTGAGCTGGCGGTGCCTGAGGACCCCAGTCTGTGATTCCTGAAGGAGCCACGGTGACACGGTGGTGGGCTGGCCTGGCGGAAGCCACCGGGTTGGGGGCAATCCTGCTTCTCGGCTGTCCCAGAAACAAGCCCACCCCCCTCTCAGGACAGACATCAGCAAACAGAAGCCCACCAGCGCCTGCTTCCTGCTGCCAGCAGAACTCTGGGTGTGTCCATGAGCGCATGAGATGAGGCAGCTCCGGCCCCACCTTGGAGAGGTTGAGTCTCTCTCCCGGCCACCAGGGGCCCCACTGTCTCCCCTCAGAGCAGCTTGTGGGTGGCCATGGCAGGACCCTCAGGGGCTGGTGCACCCCTCTGGGCACTAGCGAGTGGGTGGGGAGGACCCGCGGGCCTCTGGCCTCTGCTTCTCCCATCCCAAGCCACAGGAAAGGGGCTGAAGAATCTCCTTGTTCACGGACGGTGACCCATTTGTCCCAGCTTGCCTGGGACTTTCCTGACGTGAGCACTGAAAATCCTGCATCCCAGTGAGCCCCTCGGTCCTGGGTAAACTGGTCCCCTTGCTCCAGGCCTGGGTGGAGCCAGCACATCCAAGTCCCCCCAACCTGTGGGGAAGGTGCCCCTTGGGGTCACATTAGCATGGCACAGCGGAAGCAACGCCTCGACCATTATTCATTACTTCCTTCCACAGACGTTTCTTTGATGCTCAACCTGGGTCAGTAACTCCCTCCAGCATCTCACCTGTCTGCTTTAGTGTGTCTAGACCCAGCGTCAGTCCTGCCTGCGGCAGGGTGGGATTCTGATGGGGCTGCCGTGCCTGCCAGCCTCCAGATGGCCCTGCAAGGAAGAAGTGAAGCCACATTCTCATCAGCACATGCGCTCGGGACCCTTCCTGACCCTGAGTCTTAACCAGGACTTTTAAGTTTTGATGATTTGCCCCCTGCTGGAGAGTGTGGGTTGTTCCCACGCCAGGAAAGTTGGGCGTTGGTGAGCTGGCAGAGGGCACGGCTGAGTGGCGGTGATGGTGGCGGAGCTGCTGGAGGGGTCTCTGCAGAGGCCAGGGGAGCAGCTGGTGCCCCTTGCTCCTGCCTCAGGCCTGGGTGGGGCCAGCACAGCCACGCCTCCCCAACCTGTGGGGGAAGTGCACTCCCTTGCTGAGCTGTGGGGGTGGGGGTGGGGATGCTGGGGTGAATGTGGCCCTTCTGAATGATGGAGAGAAAGCCTGGTGCATGGGGAGTTGTTGGAAATAGATGCTCAGTGCCTCAAAGAAAATCAGCACTGAGACAAAGGATCTTTCAGCAACACAATGTTTACTTCCTGGGCTGCAGGAAGGGTACCCTCACTAACCATCCTGCCACGAGAGGACAGAGAACAAAGGAAAACACACAGCTTTATCCCTCACGCATTTGGGGTCGTCCTCACTGCTGTGTCTGATCTCCGTTGGCTGGAGCCAGACCTCACAATCTAAACTAAATCCCGACTGGCTAATAACTTAAAACTTTTCTAAACAGGTGAAAGCCATGGAGAGCTGGGACATGCCTGTGAGCACGTCCCGCACAGGTATCTTGGTTAAAGAACAAGGACATAGAACGTGTCTGACAGCTACATAGGACAGGGCTTCACAAAGCTATTAGCACACTTATTCTTTAACAAGAAAGGAAACTCTAAAAAGGAACTTCTCTACTTCCCATGGGAGTTTTTAGTCGTGCATTTACAGAATGTGTGTTGAGCATGTACTATATGACAGGGACCACACAAAGGGCCGTGCAGGTAAACAGGACCACGAGAGGCCACAGAACCGTAGGCGTTTGAACCCCAGTGTATGCGATACTTTGCAGGGCCTGTGCCGGAGGAGGCCCATAGCGGGTTCCAGAATCAGGCTGGAGGGGGTCTGGCTGCTGGGGGGGCCGGCAGCGCAGCCTGGGAAGTGAGTTCAAGCCGGTATGATTCCTAGCAAGGATTCCCAGCTTCCTCCCACCGCAGGCAGGGTGGACTTCCCTTCCCTGCTGACGCTCCAGGGCCTGACTGTCCAGCAAGATGACTGTGGACAAGACGCATGCAGGGCTCACGGGGCTGGCCTGGTTCCTGAGTTCCAGTGACAGATGCCTGGAGAAGAGCAGGCCTCAGGCAGCCGCTGCTCCTGCAGCCGGGGCTTCAGAATGAACACAGGAGGAACGGGCCCGGGCCCAGCCTGGTCTGGAGGAGGCTCTCCTGAAACAGCTGCAGCAGAGCTGCCAGTGAAGCCTGTCTGTAACGAGCAGAGCTCAGACCTGCCCGCAGGCTCGCCAGGCCAGAAGTGACATGGCGGGAGTTTGTTACCCAGTGTTACCCCTGCAGTCGCTGACTGATACACTGCACTGAGAGGCCGGGAGCTTCAGAAGTAGATATGGTGGCCGAGGGGACTCAAGGGAGGGCGGTAACGGCATGAGGCCTGCAAAGGGGCAGCAGTGAGAGACGTGGACTAAGTGTGCCGGGTTCAAGGTGGGGGGAGGGGGGTTCACGGTGGGGGGAGGGGGTTTGAGGTGGGGGGAGGGGTTTCCAGGTGGGGGTGAGGAGGTTCAAGGTGGAGGGGGTTGAAGGTGGGGGTGAGGGGGTTCAAAGGGGAGGTGAGAGGGTTCACGGTGGAGGGGGTTCAAAGTGGAGAGGGCTCGGGGAGGGGGTGGAGAGGGTTCAGATGGAGGGGTTCAAGGAGTGGGTGGAGGGGATTCCAGGACATGGAGGGGGGATTCCAGGTCACGCGGAGGGGGGGGGGGGGGGGGGGGGTGGGCTGGCACTCTGGAGCCCGGCTGTGGAAAGCCACGGTGGTTTCAGAGGAGACGCCCTACTTCGGGGCATAGACCTCTGCCCTTATTACCAACCTTTCACCTGAGCTTGTTCCTGAATTGCTGAAGCACCTGGGAAAGAAACTTTACTTCAAAGGTGACTACAGGTGCCCCCAGCTCCTCACCAGAACTCTGAGTGCTCACCGGAGAGGCAGCTCCCGGGGCACGCGCTGTCGTTCCAGGCTCCAAGCTTAACTTGGCCCCGGGTGTCTTGGTCCTGGACTTCCCTGCAGGGTCCCTGCCCAGTGATCCCTGGAGCCCCTGCCTCCCAGATCCCCAGGTTAAGGAGCCGCAGGATCAATGGGCTGCTCAGAGGAAAGCAGGAAGGACCTGGAAGCTGGCATTGGCCTGTGGAGCCACAGGGGGAGGAGAAGACCACGGGCACGACTTGGGTCATGGCATGGGCAAGCATCTGGGGTCAGTGGGCTGGACGAGGTGGAGGCTGGAGGGAGGCCCACCTGGAAAAATGGCATTGCTCTGTTAGGAAAAGGCTGGGGGAGGAGGGGAGCGGCGTCTTTTATGAAGTGATCCAGCCTGAACATCATTAACAACAAAAGCAACAACCAACACGGTGAAAGGGTCCTGGTGGACGCGGCGAGCAGCGCAGCCCATCACCATGCTAATGAGGCCTCATTAACTGCCCCTGAGCCCTGCACAGCCCGGGAGGTGGCAGCCGCAGGGAGGACCTCTGTGGAACCTTCTGTCTGCCCCTGAGGACTTGAACAGGCGCCCATCTGCCAGGACTCCGCTGCTGCCCAGCCTTCTGCTCAGGAGCCCTGTGGGTCCCCTCCTGTTGGGCCGTATTGTTTCGGTGGCTTGGTTTCTGTGGGTGCTGGGGTCTGCATGGCTATCACTGGGGGGACACCCGTCACGTAAAATCCGCAGGAACACTGGGTGAAGCGGCAGTAAGGAACCCAGCCCCTGCGGGCTGTTCAGGGCAGCCATTCCCTGGGCACGGCAGGCCTGTAAGCAACGCCTCGTGCCTAGCCATGTCCCTGGGTGAGGGCAACGTCTATTTAGAGGGGAAAAAAAAGAACGAACGTCTTTCTGCTCTTTCCATTTAAACATTAGCTGTGAGATTAACTGCACTTGAAGCACACGTAAACAAGGAGCCAGCACGGCGGGCACGGGCTGCCTTCTCATGACTGTTACTGCTCTTAGCACCACGAAACCTGTAATTGTCACAGGTGCACTCCAGAGGCTTTTGGGCAGCCTGGAAGGTGCTGGCAACAGCCACTCACGCAGGTCTGCAAAGCGGTGCTGCTGGGAGGCCTGCAGAGCTGGCTCAGGGCTGGCGTCAGGCGAAGGAGGGAATTTTGCCAACCTCCCTGGGATTGTGCTCTGGCCTTCAAGGCCACTGGGTGAGAGGAGGAGAGGGGTCAGGAGGCCCTGCTCCAGCTCTGTCAACCCACAGCAGCCCTCCGTGGGGAAGGAACTGCCCACTGGTGCCTGTCCAGGTGACAGGAGGCATAAGGGCTGGTCCCACGGTGGCAGGGGCGCTGGTGCCATTTGCTCTCGGAGCTTTCTCGTGGGCCCTGGCTGAGGCTGGCCTCCTGTTGAGGCTGTGCCCGTTCAGCCTCCCCCCTGCCCTACATGGGTTCTCTCCCTCACTCCACTCCTGGAAACCCCATGCTTAGAAATCCTACTGAGCAAGAATCTCCAGCCTGTGGGCTCCTTCTAGGACGTCCCACTGAAGACACCTGCAGATGCTGCTCATAAGGTCAGTGACATGGTTCGGATCTGTGTCCCCACCCAAATCTCGTGCTGGGAGATTAGTAACCCCCAGTGTTTGGGTCATGTGTTGGGGGTGTTTCCCCTTGCTGTTCTCGTGATAGCGAGCGAGTTCTCAGGAGACCTGGTTGTTCAAAGGTGTCCAGCGTCTCCCCCTCCTCTCTCTTCCTCCGCTCCAGCCACATAAGAAGTGCTTTCCTTTTGCCTTCCGTCACAGTTTTAAGTTTCCTGAGGCCTCCCCAGCCATGCTTCCTATACAGCCTGCAGAACCGTGATCCAATGAAACCCCTTTTCTTTATAAATGATCCAGTCTCAGGTATTTCTTTATAGCGTGTGAGAACAAAGTGGTAGTCAGTCCTTGTAGGCGTTTTCAGGTAGCAGCTCATCAGCTCAGCAGGGCAGTTGCTTTCTTAGGGAGAAGGGTGAAAGCACCCGGACTCACACGGACAAGGGGTGGCGGGGTGCCATGGTGACACTCCCGGACGGCTGCCCTTCATGGCTTGCGCGTGTCCTCCTGAGCAGGGTTTGCGACCGCCCCCTCCCTCCAAGAATCCATGTGGCAGAAATTTGCTTTCTTTTCCACCTGAGCGCAGTTTATTTTCATAATAATAAAAAGAAGTCAATATAGTTTTAATAGGCAGTACCGGGAAGATGTATTTGAATTGGAGATACAGATGGACTTCTTCTGAGGCAAAATTCACATCATGTAACATGTAACCATTTTGAAGTGAACAATTCAGTGGCTTTCAGTACATTCATGATGTCGCAAACCATCACCTCCACCTGGTTCCAAAGCGTATCGCTCCAAATGGAAACCCCATTATCATTAAGCGGTCGCTCCCCTCCCCTTTCTCCCCACCCCCCGGCAGCCACGGTCTCCTTTCTGTCTAGGGACTTGCCTATCTGGGCGTTTCCTATAGTGGAATCATGTGACATGTGGCTTTTTGGGTCTGCGTTCTTTCACTTAGTGTGACAGCTTCAGGTTCGTCCACATTGTGGCATGCATCAGTGCCTCATTCCACTCCACGGCTGAATGAGAGTTCGTTGTGTGAACAGACCTTGTGTTTATCCATTGATTTGGTGATAGACACCTGGGTTGCTGCCACTGTTTGGCTGTTGTGTCTAATATTGCTACAAGCATTTGTGCACAGTTTGTTTAAATGCCAGTCCTACTTTTTTTTTTTTCTGAGACGGAGTCTCCCTCTGTTGCCCAGGCTGGAGTGCAGTGGTGCCATCTCGGCTCACTGCAAACTCCACCTCCTGGGTTCAAGTGATTCTCCTGCCTCAGCCTCCCGAGTAGCTGGGACTACAGGCACACGCCACCACGCCTGGCTAATTTTTGTATTTTGAGTAGAGACGAGGTTTCACCATGTTGGCCAGGATGGTCTCAAACTCCTGACATCATGTGATCTGCCTGCCTTGGCCTCCCAAAGTGCTGGGATTACAGGCGTGAGCCACTGTGCCCGGCCTCAATTCTTTTAGGTATATACCAGGAGTGGCATTGGTGGGTCATATGGTAACTCTACATTTAGCTTTTTGAGGCTCTGCCAGACCACTTTCCAAAGCAGCTGCACCGTTTTATATCCGTGCCAGCGGTGATGGGGCTCTGATTTCTCTGTCTCCTCAGCGGCTCTTGTTATTTTCTAGTTTTTAATCATAACCATGCTAGTGGGTATGCAGTGGTGCCTCACTGTGGCTTTGCTCTGCGTTCTCCTGATGACTGAGGGCTCTGAGCAGCTCCACGTGCCCGCTGGTCCTCTGTGTGTCTTCCTGGGAGCTGTCGTGTTCACTCTGCTGCTTCTGTTTTCTCAGTGGCTTCTGCTTGCTCCTGATCCTCAGGACTTTGCTTTGACTCCCCTGGACGCTTAGGTGCCCACCACTGCCTGATGTCCGCAGCCCTGATGGATTTAGCTGCATTTTCAGGAGGTGGTGCTTTCTTGTACCATCCAGCCCTGGGGTTGGCTTGCTCGGGGCCTGATGTCCTCTCCAATTCCTAGCTCGTCCCATCAGCAGGCTGCAGTGGGTGCTGAGATAGGGTTTCCCCAGGAGCAGACTGAGATAAGGAGTTTGTTGGGGGATGCAGAACCTGCTAGTGGGGGAGACGGGGTGCGGAGGGCTGCCCATCCAGGGGGAGTATCCAGCCAGCTGCTGGAGCGTGGCTCATGTCCTGGGATTATCCCACCAGGGGGCAAAGGAGCTGGGTGTTCCCACAGCAGCCCTACCAGCCTCTGAGGGCTGCTCCTTTGGGGTGTGAACACCCTGGTGCTTCCCGCCCATTGCCTGGGATGCGAGGTGGGGAGGATGGGGACAAAGTGGCTTTAAAGGCCAGAAAAAGCCCTCAGGCAAACAAGCACAGGTGCTGGCATTCAGAAGGTGACTCTAAGGTAAGGGTGAGGGGACAGGACACACAGGCACAGCGTCTGCTGCCCAGGGAAGCAGGTGCTGAAGACGGCGATGTGGGCGGAGCCACAGAAGAGACGTGTTCTCACCACTATGCCGTGAGCTTGAGGACCTGAATCCAGTGTGAGTCACTGCTGCCCCAGCCCTGCCCACTGGTGCCCAGGGGACCTTCTGCCCAAGCCCTGTCCAGGCCATGAGCCTTGAAGAGTCAGGTTGGCTTATACTAGGATCTCAAATTCCTTCTACAGCCCTAAGCCTCGTGGGGTGAGATGTCATAGCTGGGTCGAAGCTGACCCAATACCCCAAGAGGTATTGGCCGTGCCTCTGTGGCCAAGCTTGTGGATGAGGGAGCCATACTGTCTGCTGTGGAATCTTCTGCCAGGAGGCTGGGCCCATTCTTTGACTTCTGTGCAGCCTAGGGACTCCAGGGGAAATGACCCCCCAGTGGGGTTCAGATGTAGACATATTGGTGGACTGGGCTTGGAGGGCACTGGGAGGCAGATTGCAGGAAAGGCAGTGAGACCCCTGAAATAATCTCAGCGAGTGGGGGACGTGCGATGCTGGTTAGAGCTACAACAGTGCTTGAGTGTGGCTGAATCAGTGCTTCTGGGGACTGCATGAGGTTCCATTTGAACCTATGTGACCAAGCCCTGTCCTGGGGTGCCCTGGGCTCCAAGGTGACAGTTGAATAAAACCAAAAATTCTACATCACTAGAGGCCCATGCTCCACTGCTGGGGACTCTTGGAAAGTGTGGTGTACAGGGGACAGGGAGGCAGACACCTGCCCTTCCCCCACAGAAGCCAGAGGGGCCCTGCTGCACTGCCCCCCAACCAAGTCAGGGACCCTCCTCTTATACCTGGGGGGACTGGTACAGCCAAGGTCACCGCTAGAGCCTCCTGGGGTGACCTGGTTGCTGTCCCTCTTTGAATCTGTTCCTCCAGGTTTCTCCTTGATTTTTAGGAGGTTCCTGCTGTCCTTCGGATGAAACCACCTTTTATTTTTGGGTTCAAGTCCTTCCTCAGCCACTTGAATGATGTTGGGTGGATGGCATGGTCTTTCTTCTTCGGTTTTGCCAACTTGTGTCTGGGTGTGGGTTTCTTTTGGTTTGTCCTGCTTGGGGCTTGTTTGGTTTCTTGAAAAACGTGGCTTGATGTGTTTCATAAATTACAGGAAATTCTCAGTGCTTGCTTCTTCAATTTTGCTTTTTCCCATGGGCTCTCTCCCTCCTGGAATTCTGCTTCATGCCAGCCCTTCTCACAATGCCTGTGGGTCTCCTGTTCCTCTTCTGTTTTGGTTTTTCTTTTTTTCTCTTCTGCCCTTTGGCTTCTCCAGGTTTCACTCTGCATATTTTCTGCGACTTACTTTCCAGTTTACTAATTTTCTCTTAAGTTATGTCTAATCGCTTTAAAACTTATCCATGGGGTCCTCTATTTCAGTCAGTACATTTTTCAGTTCTGGGATTTTTGTTTATGTGTTCTTTTTCAAATCTATGCATTTTTTAAAATCCAAGTTTTAATTTTTTTTCTCTCCTTGAGCATATTGTTTTAACACCTCTATGGGTGATTTCCAGCATCTGTAGCTCCTGTGGGTCTGCTGATGCTGCTGACAGATGAGGCACCAGCCATTCTACCTGTTGTCTCCCCAACCCACTCCCACCAACCACAATCGCTCCCTGTGCTTCCTCTAGAAGCATTTTCCAACTTTCTCTGTAGAACAGTGAAGAAGTCCCAGTTACAGATACCATTGATCCCTCCCTGTGTGTTTTTCCCAGAACTGCAAGCAGAGCCCACTACCACTTGACGGGCAGTCGAGTCTGGTATGACCATGAGCTCCATGAGGG